CCTCCCCCAGCTGTGCACGTGTCCATGTTGGGCCAGGTCTTTGCCACCTCCCTTTTCCAAGCCCCCTCTGATGCCTGCCCTCCACCCCTGGTCAAAGAAGTGGAAAGCTGGACATGGTAACAATCCCAGCATTTGGGGAGGCCAAGGTGGGAGGATCACTTGAGCCCGGAAGTTTGAAACCAGCCTGGGCATCATAGCAACACCTGTCTCTTAATTTAAAATAAATTTAAAAGGGCCGGGTGCAGTGGCTCACACCTGTAATCCCAGCACTTTGGAAGGCTGAAGTGGGAGGATCACTTGAGCCCAGGAGTTCAAGACCAGCCTGGGCATCATAGCAACACCCTGTCTCTTACTTTAAAAATAAATTTAAAAGGTCCAGGCGTGGTGGCTCACATCTGTAATTTCAGCACGTTGGGAGGCTGAGGCAGGTGAATCACCTGAGCTCAGGAGTTCAAGACCAGTCTGAGCAACATGGTGAAACCCCCTGTCTACTAAAATACAAAAAATTAGTGGTGGTGGGCACCTGTAATCCCAGCTACTCGCGAGGCTCAGGCACAAGAATTGCTTGAACCCAGGAGGCAGAGGTTGCAGTGAGCTGAGATCGTGCCACTGCATTCCAGCTTGGGCAACAGAGTGAGTGAAGCTCTGTCTCAAAAATAAGTACAATACCATAAATGAGAAAGCAGTGGAGAAGCCCTCACCCTTGAAGTGTGCCACGCCGAGGAGGAGGATGCTGACATCACTGGGCATCTCCTTTGTGGACCTGGCGAGCTTCCCTTTCATCTGCGCCTGTACCCAGTTGTTGACCTCCTGAAGGTCCAAGCGAGGGTTGCCTGTCAGGACCCGGGGCCTGGTTCCGTACGACTTTTCCAGGGGTGCGACAAAGCTGGATCTGATGCGCAGCTCTGCGAAGAGGCGGAGGAGAGGTGAGCGTGCCATCTTTCAGAGCCTGCAGGTTCAGGTTTATCGCTCGACAGGCCCTGACTTCCCAGCCAGCATCTTTCTGTGACTTGCTGGCACTTCTGCTGGCATCCCCAGGCAACGGGCAGGGCGTGGCAGATACCCCACCGTGCTGTTCATCGTCATGCCTCCGCCTCCCATCACCTCCTGCGGCCCACTTCCTCTTTCTGACTCTCTTTGGGCTCATGAGCCCTTCCTCCCTCTGGTGCCAGGCCTGGCCTGAGCCTACGTGAGCTGTGTGTAGAAACGAATCCCCGGCCTGGAGCATAGAGCCCACATCCCTCAGGCAGCTTGGGCTGGAAAGGCGACTCACTCCTCTCAAAGATGATCCGGGAGGCACTCCTCAGGTTCTTCTGGGGAGCAGTGACAGTGTCAAGCAGCTCCTTATAGGTGCCATGGATGTCTGGGCTGCTGATGAGGTCGTAGTAGAGAGCCCGGTGAATGATGGATTCCGTTCGCTGCTCCGCTCCTGCCGGAGACAAGGATGTGGACCTTGATAACTGCACACCAGGGCCCAAGTCAAGCCCCTTGCAGAACACAGATACCATACTCATTCCTTTTGTCTGCTGAGGGTCCAGGCAGGCTGATCTCAGAGAAACTCTAGGTGGCCAAGGAATTTTCCTCCTTAGAGATTTTCCTGAAGTAGGTCAAAGACATCAAGCCTAGAGGTGGGAGTGAGGGCACCAGTCCCCGTACTCCTCCCATCACAGCCCTTAAGACCATTCTGGCCGGGCACAGTGGCTCACACCTGTCATCCCAGCACTTTGGGAGGCCGAGGCGGGCAGAGCATGAGATCAGGAGATTGAGACCATCCTGGCTAAAATGGTGAAACCCCATCTCTACTAAAAATACAAAAGTGAGA